ATAGGTACAATCCTACCCGTGGTTCATCATTCATTCCATTACCCGACTGGGTGGCAAACAACAAGGCTTGTATTAATATTAAAATGAGGGCGACTTATGTTTTAAATATTCCGTTCAATGTAGATTTTATGAGGTATACCAAAAAGACCCTCCCTGCGACATGCATCATTATAAGAAATATGTTAATGATACTTTCATCAAGTGGGATAATGTAGACTTTCCTGCTGGTAATGATGAGATTGAACTATTTTAAGAACAGAACAAACACATATCGGTCAATGTTTATTACATAAACCCCGATACAAATAGTAAAACCATTTTATTATACAAAAGAAGAAACAACCCTCAAGCACAACACAAAATCGGTTTGACTAAATTGACTGATGATGTTAAATCACATTACGCTTATATCAAAAATTACGATAAGTTAATGAGTAGTCAGACTAACAAAAAGAAAGTTAAAACGTATCATTGTAGAGCCTGCTCTCATGGTTTTCAATCAGAAGAGTTATTGAAGCAACACGAAGAACAGGGATGTCTAGCTGTTGAGGGTCAAAAAACAGAAATGCCAAAAGCAGGTGAAACAATAGCATTCAAAAACCATTTCAAGAAACTTAAAGCACCCTTCGTAATCTATGCCGACTTTGAATGTTTAACTGCGCCAATTGATGTTAAAAGCAAATCGGCAAAAGCTAAAACTACATCATATCAAAATCACCGCCCGTGTGGTTTTATGACTAATGTAGTCAATGCTATAACCGGAAGTAGTGAGCCTTACTTATACAGAGGTGAAGATTGTATGGATAAATTTGTTGAGAAATCAGTACAGTCAGAGGGGAAGTTTTGGAGAAAATGAAGGAGGACAAAGACCCTATTGAAACCGAGAAGGACTGGGATTCTTCAATAGTGCCACCAAGTGTAATGCTTATGACAATGAAGAGGGTCAAAAGAAATGCTGGGACCATTGCCACTTTACTGGGCAGTATAGAGGTTGCGCCCACGAGGACTGGTATGAGAAATTATAAAACCCCTGTGTTTATTCATAACCATAAAAACTATCATGCCCACTTAATCATCAACAAGGCTCACGAACTGAACAAGAATTCTAAAATAGAATGTATCGCTCAGAACAGCGAAAAGTTTATAACCTTTGGTTTTAAAAATCTTTGTTTCAAGGACAGTGTTAGCATCTTATCGTCTTCGTTGGATAAGTTGGTGAAGTTGAGTAAATATGAGGATGATAAAAGGCGTGAGAATTGGAAGAACAATTTCAGACACAGCGTTAGAAACCCGTATGTTAAAACCGATGAAGATTTGGATTTATTGGCCGATAAGGGTATTCATCCTTATGACTACTTTGATGGTTTTGAAAGATTTAAGGAAAGGGCTTTGAAGCATATGATGAGAACAAGCCATCAAATTATATTAGTTACTTGGATGCTAACAACTTGTATGGTTTAGCAATGTTGCCATTGAAAATATCAAGTGGGCAAAGAAAACGCCCAGTGTTGAAAATTGGAATGAAAACGATGAGTTTGGTTATATTATGGAAGTTGATTTGGAATACCCCGAAACATTGCACGACTTCCACTCTGACTATCCACTAGCGCCTGAAAGAATGAATGTAAATGTGAATATGCTTTCCGATTATCAAAAGCAAGTCTATAAAATATATTATGATGGAAAAACCCCGAAGGACGAGAAAACAAGTAAGTTAATACTAAATCTAAAGGGTAAAGAAAAATATGTGGTTCATATCAAGACTTTACAGTATTAGTTGAAAATGGGATTGAAAATGACCAAAGCCCATAGGACTATAAAATTTCAACAAAGGGCATGGTTGAAACCGTGGATTGACTTCAACACTGGTAAAAGGAAATAAGCCAAAAGCGATTTTGAGAAAGATTATTCAAATTTATGAATAACGCGGTGTATGGAAAAACCATGAAGGACAAAAGAAACCATATGGACTTTGAACTGGTGGATAATGAAGTTAGATATGAAAAATGTGTGAGTAACCCAACATTCAAAAACATATTTATTATAAATGAAAATCTGGTAGGAGTTGAAAAAACTAAAGCGAAACTGAAATTGGATAAACCGATTTTCCTAGGAATGAGTATCTTAGATTCAAGCAAATTACATATGTGTCAGTTTTATTATGATGTGTTGACAAAGAAGTATAATGAAAACATCAAATTGATATATACTGATACTGACAGTTATGTAATTCAAACAATGACTGATGATGTTTACAATGATTTCAATGAGATAAAGCAACACATGGATTTTAGCGACTATCCACCTGAACATCCATGCTTTGACAAAACTAATAAAAAGGTCTTAGGAATGTTTAAGGGCGAAGTGAATGGAAAAATCATTGCTGAATTCGTTGGATTAAAACCTAAATCATATGCCTTCACAATTCACGGTGAGGATGATGAGGATAAGAAATCAAAAGGTGTAGTGAAACAAGTGAAAAAAGATTTGTCGTGTCAGAACTATCACATATTTCAAAACAAAAAGCACGAAATCACATAATTTTATTAGGAGTAAGTCGCACCAAATATATTCAATGTCTCAAGCTAAGCAAAGTCTGAGTAATTATGAAAACAAAAGGTTTTATATTGATGCTTTCACTTCACTGCCTTATGGGCATTATTCCATAAATTTGTTTATCGAAATAGTTCTAATAATATGAAATTATTAGTCTTATTTTCAGGGACAAGGTCGGTTGGTCGGGTTGCTCGGGATTTGGGTTTTAGTGCTATTTCCCTTGATTTGAAAAATGCAATTATCAATACTGATATTTTGATCTGGGATTATCAACAGTTTGATTTGGGTGAGTTCGATGTGATTTGGGCATCCCCTCCATGCACCGAATACAGCCGAGCGAAGACGACGGGCGTCCGAAAGATAGATTGTGCAAACAGTATTGTTTTGAAAACCCTTGAAATCATTGACTACTTCAAACCTACATGGTGGGTTGTGGAAATTCCTCAAACAGGATTATTAAAGGAACAACCCTTCATGAGTGGGTTGAAATACTATGATGTGGATTATTGTAAATATGGCATGAACTATAGGAAAAGGACAAGGCTTTGGACTAACATTGCAACATGGAAACCCAGACCATTATGTAATAGGGACACCCGCATATCGAGCGCCCCTTGCAGTTTGCAGCCCGTTCTACAAGTTTTTTTCACGTCGCCGGTGGGAAAATTAGGAATGGGAAACATTTAGAAACTGCTCAACGCTTACCACCAAAAACTAAGGCGGAATGGGGCGATAATCCTAGCGTTCATAAACAGGAAGACCTGTGTAAAATACCGTCTGAGTTAGTGTTAGACATCCTCTGTAGTTTGGAATGAAAACCGCTTAAAGACGCATCCATATATGAGAATAATGGAGAATAATAGATATAACAACGGGACAGTGTATAGAATAATCGACAGGGCTTACAACACGTGCTACATAGGAAGCACCTGCGAAACTCTCCGTCAAAGAATGGCACGTCATAGGAAAGAATACAGAAGCTATTTGAAAGGGGGCAAGTATTTCATCACCTCCTTTAACATATTTGATGAGTTTGGTGTTGATAATTGTTGCATTCAGTTGGTTGAAAGCTACCCTTGCACTTCTGTAGAAGAACTGCGAAAAAGAGAAGGCTACTACAAGCAAACGACCAACTGTGTCAATAAGCAAACACCTGGAAGAACAAATGCTGAGTATAGAGAGCAATACCGGGAACAAATTAACCAACAAAAGCGAGAGCATTACCAGGACAACAAGGACGAAATCAATGAAACAAACAAACAGAAATACACGTGTGTTTGTGGTGCTGTTGTCCGTGTTGGTGGTGAAGCAGAACACGAAAGAATGAAGAAACATGAAAGGTTTTGAGGAAACAACCCAAACGAAGAAGAACAGCAAAAACGAGACGTGAAGAAACAACAGGCACATCAAAGAACGTTAGACAAACCTAAGCTTAAGTATGCCTGTTGTTGTGGTTCAACGCTACGGATTGGAGACAAGTCATCACATGAGAAGACCAAGAACCATCAAGAATACATCAAACATGAGGCAAAGAGTGAAGCAAAAGCAGAAGGATTTGTATAACATATCGTCCGAGTTAATCATCTCGTAGGGTCCCCAAGGTGTCCCCAAAATGAGGGGGCTGGGTGTCCCCAAAATGGGGGACTGGGTGTCCCTAAAATGGGGGACACGGTGTCCCCAAAATGGGGGACTGGGTGTCCCCAAAATGAGGGACTGGGAGTCCTCAAAATAGTGTTTCGTTGAAATGAGGGACCGTGTCTCGTTGAAATGAGGGACCGTGTCTCGGTGAAATGAGGGACCGTGTCTCGTTGAAATGAGGGACCGGGTCTTGTTGAAATGTCTCGTTGAAATGAGAGTAACTGAATAATGGTTCGGTGGAATAGGACTATGGAGAGGATAAGTGAATTAGTTTTGATTCATAATATATATATATATATATATTTATAGTATGTTTAAGCAGTATAAACTTTTATATCCTTTCGCTATACTATACTTATAACCTATGAAAAACTTTCAATGACAAAAACGATGTCAAAACAAAAGCACCACCCAATACCCCAGAACTTGATAACTACTAAAAGGGCTAACTCTTTCAAGTGAAAAAATGTCAGCCCCCAGCCCAGCAATGAACAAGGCGAGAATTTATCCAAATGATTACCTTAACGAAAACGATATATAAGCTCCGCAAAACACCCCTTTTAAAAACGAATAAGGGGGAACACAGATTTGAGATGAACATAAAAACCAGAACAGGGGACCATCAACAGGCCTTCCCCCAGACCCCCCCTTTTCTCCATTTCCCCCCCCCCCCCCCGCAATAGTCTGAAACCGTGGGTTTGGGGAGGGGTAAGGGGAGGGGGAACAGGTAAGGAGCATTTCTTATGTCCAACACGCCGCCTTGTTGTCGGCGGATTTGGGAAGCTTGCGTTGTTGTTTGGTTGCAGGTGTCCCGGCCGAATGGCTGGGGGATGGACGTACGGAGATCGACTCGATCAGCGCGTCGCAGTTCGAGTGGGAGACCTTTGAGAAGCACTACGTGGCGCCACGGCGGCCGCTGCTGATCAAGGGCGGGGTGCGGATGAGCGTGAGCGACCGCCGGAAGTTCACGCGGGAGGGCCTCGTGGAGGTGGCGGGCTCCCGCAAAGTCACGGCCTACGCCACGCCCTACGAGAACGACTTCCGCGAGGTCCAGGCTGTGGAGATGTCCGTGGAGGACTACGCCAGCTTCCTGGACCACCGCTTGGACGACCTGCCGGGGGCTTGGGAAGCAAGGGAGAGAAGGGGCCAGAGGCAGCGGTCCACGACGGTGCTGCTTTGTTTTTTTACTGTGCATGTCCGTTTTCGAGGCAGGAGCCGAATCTGAGCTACGTCTTCGAGCGGCTGCCGGAGGATGAGGGCCCGCTGGGCTTCGCACGCAGCCCGCCGAAGCTCCTCGCGGACCACGTGAAGCTCCGCTCCGCGCAGTTCGTGTGGGGCGGCAGTCTGATGGGTAGCCCCCTGCACCACCACGTGGATGCCGTGCCGAGCCAAGGAGCAACGCACAACACAGAAATCCGTGATTGAGTAGTGCATCTGCAAGTGTGTATGCTGCACGTATAGCCCCAGCTATGTGCTTCTTTCTTTGAGGTGAATTCCTTGCTCTACGGCCGGAAGCTATGGTTCCTGAAGCCTCCAGCGCAGCAAGAGTTCCGCAAGACGGTCGTGTACCAGGAGACTTGAGTTGCCGCTGCACTCGTTGGTTTGTCTCCCAGGCAGCTTGAGATCCTGCACACTCGCACCTTGCACGTTTCCACTTCGCTTCTCCCCTCGAGAAACGGCGGACTCACAGGATTTGAAGACGTGCAAAGCGATGTTTCAGACGGCCAGGATTTGATGAAGGGTGGCCCACAAGGTCTGCGAGTCATGCAACAGGGCGGCGACTTGCTATACGTACCGCAGGATTGGGCCCACGGAGCGCTGTGTGTGGAGCTCAACTTCAGAAGTTTCAAAATCAGGTCGGGTTGGACGATTGGACAAGGGACATGGCCAGTATGGGTTGGGTCTGTGAGTGGCTCAGGCCTGAACCAGTGCATTGGCCTGGCGCACGAGTTCGATGTGAAGTCGCAGACGTCTCCCGTGCCTGTGGAGACTGTGACTGCTGGCCTTGGAGTAGCCGCTGCTGGCGTGGCTTTTTTCTCCGCTGCCATCATTTATTGGCTAGTAACACACGTTTGAAGCGAGAAAATAGCGCGGCATATGGAAGCGCGAGCGAGTGCAAGGGCCGAATTCAGAGTCTCCTCAGAATCTAACTTCCCATCCGCGATTTTGGGCTCGCGGCCAGCCTCGATAGCGAAAATGATACTGAATCGGTTGGCCTTCCTGGCATGGGCGAGTCCGGCATTCAGCTTGGTCTCAAGGGAGTCACCACCCTTGGCTCCGGAGCAAGCGTACGACCCCAACAGGGCACCTTCAGAGGAGAGCCTCAGGGAGTTTTCCGGCGACTGGCTTTTTCACGTGAGGACGACCTCTTGCCCCTCGGGCAAGTGCATTGCATCGTGTTGCGATGTGTTGCGATGTGTTGCGATGTGTTGCGATGTGTTGCGATGTGTTGCGATGTGTTGCAAAGTTGCCAGCGCTGCGTACTCAAGCCTCAAGACCAAGCTGAGGTCATGGAGATGCTTTTGACAATGGCACCTACACCTCGGTGTCTCGCACGTTTCTGCCAATGCTGTGCTTGGGCTCGGTGGGGCTAATTCTGTGTACTGGCGGCGCTTCCAAGCGGGTGGATCCTCCACCCGATGCTGAGAACGCATCGGCGAATGACAGCCCTCAGTCATCGCCGCAGTCACCACCGGCTTCGGGCAGACTGTGGCACGTGGACTTTGCCCGCATCTGTGCAGTGATGTGCGTGATCTTCGAGCATTGCGGCGGCTCAGAGGCATTTGGGATCTGGGGGCACTGGGCAGAAATCTGGCGTGATAGGGAGCTTGTAACCCAGCGCAGTAACCGAGTAACCGGGGGCAAGATGGGCTGTTCCTCGAGATTTGCGACGCAGAAGCATGTGTTGTTTTTGTTGTTTTGTTCATCGCAGTCTCGTGACTACTAGGGCTGGCTCCCAGCTGCCTCCCAATCAGAGCCAACAGGCAACCCGCGGGCCAAGTGATGCTGGGGATGTTGCCAGACCAGCCCTCGCACCTATACCGTCTCGTGGCAGCCAAGTTGATTGACGATAAAACCTTTCACCGGAACCGAGGTGGGATGAGCTACACTCATCGAAATGTGGGCTTTGGCCTGTGGTGGGCACTGCCATATTTGTACCTCACCAGCGGCATGTCTTCGATGATATCCAAGTCTTCGATGTGGGGCTACATCTTCCGCTTGCTCTTGGTATTCGCAGTGGGTGTGCTGGCGAACCTCTTCGCTGACGTGGTGACTCGCCGGGACTGGCGGCACGACTTTGGCAACACCATCTTCCAAATGTTCTTCGTTGCGCCTTGGATTCGCATGATTCAGCTCTTGCATTTCGGAACGCGAGCGAGTGCTTTGAAACCTGTGGGTTTGGGGTAAGTCGGGGAAGTGTGTCCGGAGTCCAGTTTGCCCGTGAGTCCAGCTTTGCTACTAGACTCCAAGAAGTTTTCGGGCTCGACATGGCTGTATGTTGGGCCAAAAGGCTCCAGAAACGCTCTTTTGCGCTGACGTGCTTAAAGGACACCGTGCATGTTTTGGCATAGGATGATATTTCAGGTGATGCTGCTGATCATGGCGCCCCTTGCGGAGCCGCTGCGTTTGGCGCTGCGGGACCGCGCGGCAGGCCAGAGCGTGGGTGTGAGCACGCAGCTGATGGCGGGCTGGTGGGGCCTGCTGGCGGCAGCAGCCTTGGCCGCCTTCGTGCGGGGCTACACGGGGGACTCCCCGGACATCGTAACGCAGACCTTCCAAGACGAGAAGGTGTCCCACTGGATCCAGTTCTATGCTCCAGTGCTGCGCCACACCCCCATCATTCTGGTGCACGTGGGCGGCACGCTCTTCCTGAGTCTGTTGGCCACCATCATCTGCAGTGATCACCTCAGCGGCGTGGTGGGCTGGGTGCTGCTGGCCTTCACGTACCTGCAGATGATCGTGATACCCTGGGACCAGGACAGCTTTGCCCACCTGGTGACCTTGAACATCCTGGGAATGGTCACCTACCAGTGGCCGCCTGGTGACAGGCATGTCACGGCATGTCGCGGCATGGCATATCATGCATGGCATGGGAAGCTGCCTTAGTTTTCTAAGGCCGCTGGCCGGCAGCACCAAAATTGCCGCGTGGGTGCAGGCATATTGGCCATTTCTCTTGATGTTCCTTTGCCTGGACTCGATGCCTGACATGTGGGGCCGTTGCGATGTGCATTCCCCATATTCGACCTGGGAAGCTCGGCAAAGACTGTGCACTTGTCTCTGGTCTTTTTCTACGGAATGCGATTTCAATTCTTTCTGCCAATGCTAGGAGCGATTTCGCATGTTCTTGGGGGAGTTCATTTTGGTGGTTTGCTTTGTCACGGGCGCATTCACTCCATCTGACCCGAACAATATCACATCCTGGCTGGGCCACTGGTCACTCTATGCCTATTGCTTCCATGTGATGTGGTATCGCCTGCTGGGCTCTCCCTATGGAGCCATTGTGACCTTTGCATGCATCCCAGTCTTCTGGCTTCTGAGTCGAAGCCAAAGTCGCACGAAATAGGCCGTACATTCCGACTCGGAAAAGCTGCGCTTGGCTGATCTTGCTTGCCTGAAGGCTTGCTCCTTGTGTTGAGATTGAGAGTATTGAAACGAGGGCTCGGCTCAGGCGCCGTGCCCGCCATGCGCCCATTGCGCCCATTGCGCCCATGGCTGCTGCTTCTCTCCGTGAACTCCGTCGCATCGGAGTTCTCGGAGTTCTCGGAGTACTTGAACGAGTTCTCGGAGTTGGCGGAGGCGTACGTTCGGCGCCTGGCGAAGGTGCCAGACTGGCGCCAGATCCCCGGGGACACGGACTGGTTCGAAGGCTGTGGCTACGGCAACTACGACATCCGCGGCGCCATCGCTGCGGGCCTGGAGCACAACAAGGAGAAAAACGAGAAAGAAAAGATAGACATAATGAAAGAGAAAGACTGTGCTTGCACTGACTCTCTTCATCCACAGGTTCGCAAGCACGTGGCGATTTGTTTGGGTCACTGCGGCCCGCCGTCATGTACGCTGAAGATGGCTGTGCCTGTGTCTGCATTCAGCTTTAGCTTTGCAGCATTCCGCGCTTGGCATAGAGCGTGCATTCGATGCAATTGCCACTCAGGAGTCCAACTGTAATTGCTTGCACTGCACCATGTTCTGCATGTCGCGTGCCTCCTATGTGGATTCATGCCTCAACAACCACACCCGCGACTTGTGCTTGGGATTCCAGAGCATCATAACGGCTGTGACAAATCGTCCGGCCCTCAGACTCGAAGAATCGAAGACATGCTTGGCCGGTGCATGAGACTTGCCTAGTGCCGCTCTCCAAGAAACCTGCAACCCGGACTGCAACGGCACAGCTCGGCTGCTCCTGGGACACGTGGCGCTCTTGCTCATGCTGGTGAGCTGGTCCAGATAAGACATTCAAAAGGGCCCCAGTCAGCCCAAGGCCGCAGACCGACGTTTCACCGTACCTGTAAACACAGGCATGCAAAACCAAGCGGCTTTCCTAGGCGTGTGCTTGTGTTCGAACAGGATAGGTGACGTGCACCATTTCGGGGATTGAAAGTGCAAATGTGGGCCGCGGCTCAAGAGTGGAAGGGGCATTCTGCTGCCATGGTTGCGGCCTCAGGGCCTATCACATCTCAAAGCTCAAAGAAATCCATCTGAGATTCCGAGCAACAAGAAGGCCAGGATCGAGGGCGAGAAGGCCTGCCTGCCTGTCCTGTCAAAATGCCAAGGCACCATCCATGTTGTCTCACCAGCCTTACCAGCCCGCGCTTAGCAGGTTGGCATCGCTAGCATCACCGGCATCACCAGCATTCCTCATGCTCGGCATTGTCAACACCATGTCCAACATGTGCATTCCCACAAACTCACATCAACCAGCAAATCACTGTCGCGAGAGCATTTTGCTGAGCCACAGTGCGCATCACTCACATTGCTGTCCACTCTGAGAAAGGAATGTGGCGCTTCAGAAACCAACCCACTTTATAATTGGTGTAGAGGAAAGAGGTATCAACACCAGCATTCACTAAGGACACCTCTATCTAGATCTAGCGTGATCTACCAGCATCATTCAAAACTTGAAGCCTGCGCCAAAGAAGCGTCACGCAGTTTGCTTGCCCAAGCAAGCAATGACATTCCGGGTAATCGTGGCAAACAAATACAGATAACAAGGAGTTCGACAGCATAAGAAGGCAGAGTCGCGCATACAGCCTGAGGCGAGATCAACTGGAAGAAAGAGCGAATCTGACGCACATTTGTATGGTTGGTATCATGTCTGCAAAGAAAGTACAGGATGACGGGAGCAATCGGCATCGTAAAAGCAGATGCAAGGTTGGGCCTTGGAAGTAGTGTCAGAATAGTGCGGATAGACGGAGTATCATAGGTTGCACGGAACGTGTGAAACGTGATGCAGCGCGTTTTGTGGCCGACATGTACAAGTGCAAGTAATGCAAGAATTGCAAGACGTGTCAGGGTGACGCTGGCCAGAGGCTCAAAGAGCTCGTGTTTTTTCGGCCGAGAAAGCCATTGGCACCCAGGTCTTCCCTGGGTTGAGAAATATCGCCCAGACCGGATTGAAGATGTCGCTCAGCAGGACGCCAGTGGCGATATCGCTGGTTAGTCGGAGATGCAGGTGACAAGTCTGTCAAGTCTACGGGTTCCTTGCTTTGCAAGGAGGAGGTTGTTGCGGCACTCAAGCACAGCTTGCAGACGGGCCTGCCTCTCAGTCAACTCCCCACCGCTTTCAAATTTCTGTGAACAGGCGAGCTGCCAAACCTGATGCCAAGCCCTCAGCCACCGTCATCACATCTCGCCACGTTGCGGTTGGCCACAGGTTCTATGGACCGCCTGGCACCGGGAAGACCACGGTGGCGCTGCTCCCAACGGGGGAAAATCCGAAGAAAAGAAGACGAAGCCATGTTATGGGGAACCAGGAACCGGGAACGGTGCCGAGGCCCTCGCTTTGATGAAGCAGTTTTTTGGTCAAGACTGGCGGTCCAGAGTCAAGGACCGACATGCAAATGCGAGATGCCTGGCGTTTGGGCCTGTGGGCTGTGGCCAGGAGCTCAACGCTTCGGACGAGCGCGGCATCTCGGCGGTGCGTGAGAAGGCTCGCGAGTTCCCAAGTTTCGTTATGACTTCGATGGCCAAACATCGACAGGTGAAGACCTTCGCTCAACTCACAATTGGTCCGATGCTGCGCAGTTCGAACAGTTAGCGCTGGACTTGAGCTAAGGATCCAGTGACTCCAAAGCGCGGTTTAGAGCCATGCCCTCGGGTAACATGTGTGGTGGCGCCTGCATGTTCCAGACGAGGTGATCATCCTGGATGAAGCCGACTCCATGACGTGCGCAAGCTCTTGGATTGCCTGGGTGACCTGGGTGCACTGAAGTGCTAAGGCACGATGCTCAGGCGGCTTTGCGGAGAATCATGGAGGAGAGCCGAGCCTCAGAGCCAGCCGGAAAATGACGACTGTCCAGGAGTACGTGCAGGTGACGCGATTCATCATCATTTGCAACTACGTCTCCAAGATAATCGAGCCGAAGACTAACACAGTTGGAACATCGGAAAGTCGCAATATGTGAGGCCCTTGCACTCCAGATGCTCCAAATTCCGATTCCAGCTGGTAGGCTGGGAATAACGCTGTCAGCAATTGGGCAGTTGCGACTGGCTCGCTCAGGTTGAACAGGGAAAGTTTGGAGGTTTGATGTTACCGACTGCTTGGTGCCAGGGCGCAAATCTAGTGAAGAGGCTATTGTCGCCAGAGACATTTGACTCACCTGTCAAGAAATCCGTGACTAGGTGTCTGACTCGTTTCTCAGTGTACCCCAAAACCTTTGGTGGGGAAGCGGGCTTAGGCACGCCCTTTGCAGCCGTGTGAAAGGTTTCGAAATGCAAGGTCCAGAGTTTCAGAAGAGCCGCCTGCTGCACATTTGCCAGCAGGAGCTGCTTCAGCTGCCATACGGTCTATTCGCCTTATTGTCGGGATTTGTACGAGGAGAAAGTGACGATCAGCCCCAGCGCACTGGACAAGCTCATCACTTTGTCCAAGGTCCTTGGCGCTTTGTCTTACGGAGGTGACCAATATGCATGTATGGCATTTGTGACGGATGGTTTCTAGATACAAGACTCTAGAGGCCCAAATGGCCAGGGGCTCTTGTTGGTGCGCCATCATCAAACCATAAACCAATTTTAAAGCCACCCTTAGCCAACCCTGAACCCCCCAAAACCAGCCCTAAACCAACCTTGAACCAGCCCCTAAAACCAATCCTAAAACCACCCGAAACCACTCCAAACCAACCCTAGCGCAAACCTAAGCCAACCCAAAGCAAGCCTAAACCAACCCTGAACAAACCCTTAAACCAACCCTAACCTACCCTAACCCTGAACCAACCCCTAAGCCAGCCCTAAGCCAGCCCTCAAGCAAACTTACACCAACCCTCAACCACCCCTTTCTACCCTTAACCAACCCTAAGCCAACCCCACTACTAGCTTGAAAAAAAAAACTAAATGGTCCAATTGAGGCCTTTGTCACAACGAGTTGTTTCCCTGCCACGGACGCGGACATGAATTGCAGATTCTTGCGGGTGGGTTGCTAAGATCATCGCAACCACTTTTTGCCGCTCCAACTCGCCTGTGAAGTCACGCTGAGTTCTGACACTGAGTCGTCAGGGTGACATGCGCTGTGCCGTGACCATGCTGCAAACTGCCGTCAGCTTCTACACGCAGGCCCCGCTCGAGAGTCAAGTTTTACATTTCAGCTCGAGCGCCAAATTCCCGCAGGTCGACGAGGACTCCTTAGTAGAGGCCGAGAGTAAAATGGACACATGTCCATGTTCCATGTGATTCCGTGTGATTCCATGTGCCAGGTTGCCTGCGCGGTGCCAGAGTCAAAGACCATGGAATTGCTGAGCCAGACCAAGGCTGCCCAGACCACGGACCAGGTGCCGAGAGAAACACTGAAAAGCAACATCAAGCAACACAAAAAGAGAAGAGGTGCCGACTAAAGGTGCGCCCCATGTGTGCAGGTGCTGCAGGCGGTGCGCAACTTCCTGTTGGATGGCTACTCGGGTTTGCAGGCCGGCAACTCGATGAGAGAGGAAAATAGAGCTGCAAAAGAGAAGTCGAGGTCATGGAGCATTTGCTGGAGCTCATCGCGGAGGACAGTGAACTTTGTTACAAGTGCTCAGCGAGTGCAAGCACGAGGATCCATCCTTGCCGGATTTGGCGAAGGCCAAGTGCGCGATCCTCTTCTCTCAGGCATGGCGCATCATGCGGGGGAGCTGAAGCCCTCTGACAGCAGGCAGATGAGCGCCTGTGCCAGGGCTGCGACGAGGAACGGGGAGAAAAAGTGG